AATAGATCAAATATAAAATCCTATTCGAGTTAACCACTAAATATACTATGTAATTATTCGGTTAAGTAATCCAATGAAATGCAAAATAATATAAAGTTGTAAAGTTTTGGAAGGCTAATTCATTCCAGTATGAACTTCGACTTATGGTAACTGAGAAGACATCCGGTGTACTTAGAAAACTTTTGATATTTATCGCATTCTAACAATAAAATTTTAACCTTCAAAAGGTTATTTTACCTACATTGTATTATAACCTGTGTAATGCCAATCAATCATACAGAAATCACGTGGAATTTTTAATGTTCAACTCAATGGTATATTTATTAATGGACTTTGTTCTACTTATTAAACGTTGATTTAGTGTTTCGATCAAGCCTATGAATAATTTTATCTAACAGACTTTGTCTACTCATAAGTAGCGTATATTGTATAAGTAAAATGTCTTGTTCTTTATCGGACAATTTGATTAGTTATCTTGTTCAAACTTCTCAGACAAACGACTTACTGCTAAAGACCAAAAGTCGTTTCACAGTACAAAAAAACTATACCTATCCTGTTTCGAAGGTATCCTCATTCAGCTTGGCAGATAAAGTGTTGAATTTTTGAGTAAAATCAAGAGCTTAGTGATAGCAAATAATAATATTTAACCGAGAATAATTTTGGACTCAAAAAATTTAGGTATTTTTATTTGATTTCTAATAGGTGCGAAAATCGTCAATATTCTTATCCAAGCACCGGTGGCTTATAAGAAAAAAAACACATTTATGATCTCATTACCAAACAATACTAAATGGATATCATATTCAACATATGTAAGTCATTAAATATGTATGCATGTATGTATGTGTGCTAATGTACACACATTACACCAGTCATTTAATTCATCAAAAGCCTCTATAAAAAGTAATGTGCATTGAATAGCTCTTTGAATTTTAAAGTGACTTATTTCTATATGGAATAAGCAATAAATTACTGAGTTATGTTTTTTATTGAACTTTCATCTGGCGTTTCAAATCTGTCCACTATCAAATATAACTGCCATAAAAGTATTTTAATTTGATATAATCAGCATAATCTTGAGATTACGTAGTATAGTAAATCTCTAGTACTTATTTTTAAATAATTTTACACATTATTTAACAAATCGGGCGCCCATTTTATTTAAGTTATCGAGATCATTTTGCATAACTGTACTTAGAAATTGTACCATTTTTACGAAATAATTGTCAATTTACTTTCTAATATAACTGACCAACAAAATGGCTTTCAGAAGTAATTCTTGGCATTGTCCAGACTTCTACTGGTAAACTGTAGAAGGTTAGGATGCAGTTATTAGCTATTTTATTTCAGTTAAGAATTTATTAGCAGTCGAGTAGTTTAGTGACCACATTTCTGCTCAATCGAAAGTATTCAAACATTACGATACGAGTTGACAAACATGAGAATGGTCACTTCTCAGTGATCGGTCAATTGTTCTACAGCAAATTACCAGCTTTCTGCATAACTTTATGGTAACGTCTCGAAATTCGTAGCTGAATAGCATGAATTCAAATCTTGAAGGGAGCATAAACCAGCTCAAGGCTCCAGGTTCATCTTGCTGATGAGTTTCAATTAACACATAATTAAGCTGAGTTTCCTATCGGTTACCTCCAGTCACTTAACACTTTAACAGTACACATCTACAGCTCAACATTCAACTGTAACTGAAAAATTGATGTTTTGGGGTATCCGAACTGAAATATTTTGTTCCAATATGTAGTGGAAACATTTGTATTACCTCTTGATTCTAGAAAATATCTAACTATTCAAAGCTACTTGAAATTAATGATAAATATGAAATATCAGAAAGCATTTTTGTGGATATTATAGTAATTCTAATAGTTGCGATCATGAGTCAGTTGAAGTTATACCACCTTGGAAAACCTGGAAACACTGGACGGCCGTTTCGTCCTACCATGGGATTTCTCAGTGTATGTCATGGGTTCGAATCTTGCTAGATGAGATCATGGATTCGCATTGCTGAGGAGTCCCACAATAGAACGAAATGGCCGTCCAATGCTTTCAGGTTTTCCGTGGTAGTCTATCTTCAATAGGCTCATGATCTCAACTATTAAAATATAAAATACATTAAAAATCATAAAATTTACTAAAAAATGAAGAAGAACATATTCATAGCAACATTTAGGCAGTCGATTGGTTTATTATTACGAACAAAATCTATTCCAAATCATACTGGTTACACACAGTATAACTATGCCTTATTGACGAAAACAAAATCACTTATAAATCAAAATTAAGTACTTGTTCCCTATTTATCAAAATTGTTTCTTATACCATTTCTTTTTGTGTTAATATTTAAATCATTAAATTTATCTTCTCATTTAAATGCACTAAAATCATTATAGAACTATCATTATTGAAAAGACAACTAAATCACAGTGGATTTGGAATATTATTCCTAATGTATTTTGTATTTACAATACCACAATGTATCTTAGTTACTTACAATTATAAATTGTATGTTTCTGTCAAGGTTAGTAGTTGTTTCTATTTGCTTGGTGGAATTGTACAAGTCCTCTCTGGCCTAAATACATTATCACTACTACTAATACTACTACTACTACCACTACTACTACTACTACTACTACTAATAATAATAATAATAATAATAATAATAATAATATTCCATTTCTTACAGTTTAACTATGTACATATTAATTGGATTGAATTTATTTCGGAAGTGAATTTCAACAACTAAGTTCATTTAACATACTACTGAAAATTGACAAAACATAATGACTTGATAATATATGTAAAAATAAAATAGGTTTAGTTAATTTAAGTGCTTTAGAAGTGTTTTCATAAAGGTAACTGAGCTATTATTCTTTATGAGTATAGTAGTATTACATTTAAAATTAATGAAGTAAACTATATGTAATGAAATTATATAAAATTACTTTAGTCAGTTAATGTTGGCATCACATAGTATTATTATTAATGACTTTATTCAGTATTATATTTTTGGTACAATTTTCAGCACAAAGTATTTCAGCAAGTTTCCGTTTCTTACTTCTAGATAGATCCTGATGATAATTATTGAGTGATTGCCAGTTATAAGTTATCAGTTCAGTCAATTGATATCTAGATAATGTACGTTATTTTTTATGCATATTTGCCAGTAACCATGATATCTCTGGGTGTTTTGTAACTTGCAAAACGAAGGGTTGTACACTTTTCAGAAATGCATCTGAATAGGTTATGCGATTAATAGCCCTAATGATCTATTGAAACAAACTAAATGAGATAACTTGTTGAAATGTCTAGATGGCAGGAATAGGTAGCTCAGATATTAGTGATATTATTACATAAGCTGTCAAAGATAAACTTGAGTCACAATGTAAATGCAAAACTAAGTAGCCATTCTAATACCATATTTAATTTGTGGAGATTATTAAATTTTATAGGTTGCATTATGAACTGGTCTTAGTTAGAAAACCATTGAAAACTAGGAAGCATAAGACATATGTTTTAGCTTAGCGATGTGAAGAGAGAAATATAAAAAGGTAATGATAAACAACGGAAGCTATTTCGGGGAACATATAGTTTTGTTCCTGGTTCACTCTATAAATCGCCCACTTTCATTTGATCCACTGACATACTCGTTTCTATCTCAAGATTGTTGTAATCTAAATATAACTATTTTTACTCCATTTTTCATACCCTGATGTTTCTTTAATTATTTATGCGTTACATCTTTTTGTGTTAATATGAATCTCTAATAAATCGTTTACTGATCCTGTCGATTTGTCTTCTCTCTTTCACTTGTCAACCAATCAGAATAGTTTTCGTCACTCTTGAAATAGATACCTTATATTGTAAAGGCCTTAAGTAGATCAGGACAAATACTCACTTGTATATTAGTGGACAGAAGGAACAAGGACGTCACAATTATTATGGGAATTTTTTAGTACCGTTATTCATGGGATTCGTAGTGACTAATTATAAGATATGCTTTCTGAAGATGTTATGACAAGCTATGATCGGTGGAGTATAATCACTGGAGCTTGTGACAGTCACCCACCAATTGTATTGGGAGATGGTTGAGTGATATTACGAATTGATTGAAATTAGAAATTTAGACCGTTTGGTTTAAACTGAATGGTCTAAGTTTGCAGATATCAGCATAAAACCTGAAATTACTGATAAGTTTGTAGATATCAATGCCAAGGTTGGACTTGATATTTTCAAATAAAGTAAGTATTAGATAAAAAGTATCGAATAATAGCTACAATGAATAGGAAGACATCCCTGACGGGACTCAAATGATTTCAGCTATTAAATGAGAATATTGTGCTAGATGTTAAAAAAGGGGAAATATATACACTGATAGTAAGTATTGTATATCATATCCATTGAATATGTTAAGGAAAATTGGAATCTCAGAACGTTTCTAAATAACACTCAAAGTTCAAAGTGATAAACACCATATTTAAGTTTCAGTTTTAGTATCAACAGTAGAATACAGGTACATATAGATCATAACTAAGACGAAATTCTCATTATGAATTTCGTTGACAGACATTATTCAATATATTATGTTTACATCTTAGAAAAAAAGGATACCGAAGAAATTAAGTGGGAAAAATATGAATCAATAAACCACTCTTCGTATTTGGTATCTAATGTAATGAAAGCAAATAAAGTAGTTTTTACCATGTTGCTTTAAATCTGGTACATTGCATTAGTAAACAGACTGAACGAGAGGATAAATTATTTAATCAATTCCATGTTCTGTTTGTATGCAATGGGTTTCATTTAATGTTAAAAAATGGGGGTTTACCAGAGCTTATTTGCATGCAACATTATTATCAAGTAAAAAAAACAAAAAACTCATGCTTGATTTCATTCTTGTTAATATTTAATCATGCGTGCATCGCTACTGATTAAGGTAAGAGCAACAAAGCTAGCATAAGCATAGCCAACTATTCATATTTACGCACCACTTATTAATGTACGAAATGCCTGTAGTTCAGACACTGGACCAGTGATTTTATTCTTTGAATCGATCGACGGCCATGGTGCCACATTTTTATTCATAAATCCATTATTATCATCATAATTATTGACAATAGTTGTTGGCAGAGTTTTATGACTGACTAAACGTAACCAAATACGATAATCAGTACCGGGGCGTAAATGCATCATAGTGAAACAACAACATATTGATTGCGGTAATGGTATAATCCCAGTAGCATTTAATGGACTAATCGATTCATTCGATAATCCAAATAAAATTTCATAAGATATTATAGAATACATTAATTCTGGTAAATTTGGTTGGTCCCAACAAATTTTTGCACTAACATTTGTCAGTGTACGTAGTTGTACATTTTTTGGTGAAGGTAGATCAAATGCTGAATAATTTAATGATGTTGGATGAGAAAATGAATAAGTTAGAACAAACGAAATAGAAACTAGCCAAAAACAATTTACAACAAGGTATAAGATAGAAGTTGTTTTGAATTATAATAGTACTTTATTCATTGTTTCACGCAAAAATAGTCGAAGACTATTACAGTAGGATGTTCTATTTGACTCTAGTTTCATGCTGATTGAATCTAATACTCAAAGCATATATGAAAGCTTGAGGAAGATAGATATGTCAGGTGGCATTTTAATCCACCTCAGCAAGTGTTATAGTAAACAAACATTACTACTGTACTATTCACATCGAGAATAATTTCTTGTAGGAATACATTGACTACATTGACTTTTATAATAATTAATCTACAGTGCAGTGATTGAATTCTATTTCTTCATTAGGAAATAGGATTTCAAATTATGTAATAATAGGGAAAAGCAAACGTAGAGTAAACTGGTGTCATAAAAAACACTGGTACAAGTTGAAACTATGACAAAAAAATTTAATGAAAAATATAGTATTTTGTGTATAACTTATTTGAAAGGGCTCTGTGGAAATTACAGTAATTTTTATTGTTCAGATCATGAGTCGACTAAAACTAGATCACTGTGGAAAGTTTGGAAGGACTTGACGGCTGTTATACCCTACTGTGCGACTCCTCAGCAGTGCGCATCCACGATCCCGCCTGTCGAGATTCGAATCCAGGGCCTATCAGGTTTAGGTTTTCCATGGTAGTCTAGCTTCAATTGACTCATGATCTCAACTATAACTTATCTAATAAAACCGTTTATGTGTGTTTTACGGTGACAATTACGTACATACATTTATTTAGTATATTTGAATTGTGGTTAGAAGTTTATGGTTGGACACTGATTTGAATTTATTCATGTCACATCAGTCGTATGAACTTTTAAACAATCTTCTTGTTTTTATGCGACAAAATTTACTCTATTTTTTGGACTTCGTTTAAATGATTATTATTATTAATAGTAGTAGTAGCAGCAAGGGGGTTGTTTGTGAAATTCGGAAGTAAATTTTGCTTTTGAAATCTCGTAAATCGTTAACAATAATAATAATTGTATTTCATATATGAATTAGTGTCATTTGCTGTGAATGACAGATTTCAGGTACAAGTATCTGTATTGGGCTTTGAGAAGTAAAACACGGTTAATAACTTGTAATTCATGTCTCTTAAATACTGGACCAGCTTATTTTGAACAGTATTATCAAATGATGCATAGGCTACGTTGTTCGATAAATATAGAAATTTCAAAAGCAGATATGATATTCCTCTCAATGGATTTTGAAAAACTTTAATAAAATGTTATTACTTTATCAGAGGTCAGTATTCTAGAGTGTTAAGTAAACAAAGAGACTATACTGGTCTACAAAAATGAACAGGCGAAAAAAATAAAGGCATGATGCAAATTTTAACAGTGGGGCGTATTTAAAGTCAGGTGTTTCTTTATTTAGGTTTCAGACATAATTATGTTTGTAGTGATTTCAAATTTCAAATAAACCAGATAAATCTTGCTTTAAAATTAGCTTTTACTGACAGTGATTTCTTGTGTTTAGAACAGTTACAACCGATAATAGTTAAAATTGTCCCAATTTCAAAGCTTTCAATTTACATCAATGTTAACTAGTATAAATGAATAAATTAAGCTTTCATTACACTGTCTTATATAATGGATTGTTTTTAGTATTCGATTTTTCAAACTGAAAAAGTTTGGCTTGTGCTCGTTTGAACCTGAACCTGAACTTAATAATCAATAATATCAACAACAAAAAACAACCTTAAGCATCATCAAGAATTGTTCCCCTAAATACAGTTAAAATTTAAATGAAAACAAATAACTTTTAATTAAAACTTACGGTAATCATTCGTTTGAACTTCAATTTGAGCAGCTACTCCATAACCGTGTATTGATTTACCGGCTAAACTTAAATAATATCGTGTACTTGGTTCTAGATCAGTTAATAAATACTGTGTTGCTGTTGCATCAATATCACGTGTTTCAGTGATGAATGACTTTTGTTTCTGTTTAGTAATTTCTTCTTCATTAGATGTTGATGACAATGGTGATTTTATATCACTTATTTGATCTACAACAGTAGGGGTAGTAGTGGCAGGTCGAAATCTCAATCTATAACCAAGTAATTTTCTATCATTTGACATATCATCAGGTGGTGTCCATGTTAAATGAATATTTGTCGGTTTCAGTGATATACCTCGTAAATTTGTCGGTGCGGTTGGAACTATAACATTGTATGAAATGAATTTTTTGTAGCATTGTCATTTATATTTTATTTTTAAAAAAAGAATGAAAAATTAGGTGTAAGTGATTTTCAAGATATTCCAAAAAAACATGACAACAGTGTAGAACACATATAGTATATAACTGTAAGGTATACATATATAACTTGACATTATTTATGTATAGTATCTTTATATACATAAATACATGTATATGTATATATATATAAATTGTCTGCATGCTGATATAGATATATGTATTCATAAATAGTGTGCATTATTATAGAGAATGTGATTTAAATGTTCAGTAATCTAAGATAGTAAATGTGGACAAATTACTGAGGCAGTTTTATGTGGGAAGATTTAATATGAAAGAAAAATAGGTACTTACTTTTAACAAATCATAGGTATTTCATAAGTATGATGATTTTTAGTGTGTACAATTAGTTAAAATAACTTGAAATGTGGTAAACTAATTTAAGTAATACAAGTATAGCATCGAAAAATAGTGATAATATACAGTAAACCAATATATGATAAATCTGTAGGTAGTGGTTTATGTTAAGAAAAGAAAGATTAATACATTAAAAAGTGCATGAAAATACTACTACAATATACATGGCGGAAATTCTTTTTTAGTCATCTTAACTACTATCAAACTTAATAGTAGTGTAATGATATTAACAAAATAAACCTTAATAAAGGTTACCAACTTATAAGATTTTATAAAATCTTTATTATGGAATAAACTACAATACTCTTCATTAGTGGTTTGAAATTAATGAAAATTATTTAAAATGTTCACGCTAAAATATTTTTAAAAAAAAGTTGTAATGAGTTTTTCTGTTATTTTTAAAATGGAAAATTCTTTCATTCTTGTGCATTACTCTAATAACTATTTGTGTATTTCATAAATAGACATGAATATAATGATTTGATACCTTACATATAAGTAGTGAATAACTCTTGATGCAAATATGTATATATCCATCACAATTATATGTTAATGTGAGAATGTGGCAAGGGACATGTGATTTTTCAAATTTTTAATTAATCACTATATTATACATTCATAGATATATAGACATTAACAGATTAAGACATTTGCTTTAGAGCGAAAAAAATAGTTGACTTCTTATGTAATCTAAAGTGGAAACAAGTTGAATTAGACGACTAGAAGTTGAGTATGTGTGGGTGAGAGATAGGCACAGAGAGCGGGAGAGAGAGAGATAGAGTTGAGTGAAAGAATGAACATTTATTTTCATATACGGTTTGAGTGATTGCAAAGACTGACAGTTATATGCTTAGATTTTAAAAGAATCAGACAATGGATACAAATAATGCTGAGAATTGATTAAAACGAGTATGTGATAGGATTAGAACAAGATAAATAGAGACAAAATAAATATGAATGAATGACTGAGAAGTAAACTCACTATTAAAACATGTCAACTTACGAATATCCATCTGAATATCTATGAAATCTGAAATAGTTTTCGTAGTGATAATGGTAATAATAACATTATTACGGATCATTCTCATTATCTGTGATGTCATAGCCAATATATCCAACTTACTTTTAAAGTAGAATATGCACAGACTTACAAATAAGTTACATTTGGCGATGACAAGGAATGGGAATTTAGTTTCAGCATATGCATGTAATTACAACTTGATTATTCGGATTAAGCCTCTTTTTGATTTCTTCGTTCTATGTAGTTGAAATGAAACTTTGTTAATGTTAACTATTAAGTAAGTACTCCAAATACATCATTTCAATGCTGTTCCGTAATTTGTGAAGAACTGTTTTATTGTTTAATTTTTGTGCCTTCAATTTTTCTAATAAGAAAATCTTAAATCTGTTAGTGAATTCACACATATGATTAACTAAGCATTTTTAAAATGCAATAATCGTTTATTTCAAGCTGAGATTTTATCTAACCTTATTTATGCATATTTCCCTTGGTTACAGGTAACCTGTACAGACTTATTGTTTGCTTTCCCGAATAATGATAATAATGGTATGTATGTATTGAGATGATGTATAGGATGTTTGGAATTAACAAATATCAGTTGTATGATGACAAACGAAACTCAAATAGAAATGTTTCAAGTTTATTATAAATAAATAATACGTCATATTGTGGTGTGTACTATTTATGCGGAGATATTTAAGTAGTATATGGAAGGAATTGGGATAAGAGTGCTTACCAGCTGAAGAGTAAAATAAAATGAAGAGGAAAGAAAACGAATAACAAACGGAATAACAATAAGATCAGAAGAATCATGAAGTATGTAGAGGACAACTGAAGGAAGTTATGCAAGTGATGTATTAAATGTACGATTTTCATATTTTATAAAGGTACTGTGTGATTTTGCTTAAAATAATAATAATAATAGTAACTTGATTTTATCCACCAAGTCTTCATTTACTACAATATATGTAAAGCATATGCTGTGAATTCCAGATTTCTAAAGTATTAAAGCTTTTAAAGTGAATACCTATGTTATGTTCAGTTTTCATAGTGCTATTTTCAGCTAGATTTCTGAAATTACGATAGGTTATAATGAATAAATCACTGAAAGATGCGAATCAGTGAAGGCTTCCAACGAGCACTATTGGCTCATATATATATATATATATATATATATATATATATATATATATATATATATATTCTGTGCTTAAGAGTAGACTTATGCAACTACAGTTAAATGTCAATTAAGTGATTCCTCTTATCCATATAAGGAATTTTAAGTGCTGAGAATCTAAAGTGAAAGATGAATTGTCTTAATTTTGGATATATTAACTAGTTCTGGTCTATGAAGCAATTTACGTTGGACGATGTTCGCTGAAGTTACGTCTCGGTTGATGTGAATACTTCTTAACATAGCTAGAAGCCGACGTGATTTGGAAGATAAACATTTAAATTTTTGCCCACTTTGAGATGAAGATTATTCACTAATTCTTCCGTAATCTATAATGAATTCTATAGAGTCAGGAGATAATTATTAGGCTTCAAATCCTTCAAATAACAGATGCTCTATTTATTTTTATTGTTTAAAGTCAGAGAACTAGGTGTAAGTATATAAGCCATCTTGGTACCATGTTAGCTGGCGAAGCCAACAGTCATTTTGATCTTAGCGCGACCAGTTAAACCTAAAGTATATACCTTATCTACATATTTATTTTCATTCATCGGATTTGATCATATTTTATTCTTTCATATATGAATAATTCCTTTAATATTTACCCTTATGTTGAACCCTTTTTTGTATCTTATTATATTTCATACGTTACGTAATCGCCCATATTACATTTCATATGATTATTAGTAATATTTCTAGTGCTCTCAACACATATTGTTTTATATTCGTTTTTAATTTAAACTTGGCGTTAATATGTAGTCTACCAACTTTAGTTATACTAATCATTTTAAACTTGCTATTTCTACATTTACAAACAGAAGCACACATACTTCGTCCTACTAAATTTATATTTTTGATTGAGATTATGAGCCGATTGATGTTAGACCACCGTTGGAAACCTGAAAGCACTGGACAGCAGTCCAGTGGTCTAGCTCAAATTGACTTACGAATTCAATTGTGAAAATTAATATTCACTTTAAGTAGTTTAAAAAAGGTATCAAATGTAGTTTTTGATTATTTGTTGTTGTTATGACGCCTGTTATAAAAAATTGATTTATAATATGATATATTGTTATAGTATCGTCTTATTTTTAGTCTGAATGGCACCAATATCTTAGAACCAATTCATGGTAGATATTGTATATTTGTTAATGTAACTGAACTGATAATAATCAAGGTAACACAAATAGGGATGAAGTTACTTCACTCTCTCTCCCTATATATATAAGTTCGTACCAGGTTCGATCACGTGTTAATCTGAGTTCACACAAATATAAAGGCCCTCTTATTCTCAACATTTCCTAAGCTGGCATCATTCCGTAATAAAAAGAAACTTCTACAATCGTCTACGTTTATTTATCAACTAACTAAGTTATTTATAATAATTGAATTTCACCTATCCAAATATATCATCCAGTTAACAAATTGTATGAAACCGTAACATGTCAGGTTTTGTTTCTATCCTGTTAGCAAAATATTTCCAAATCAAATCTTACATTCACTGACACAGATATCCAGTGAATCAAAACTAAAGGGGAAGTGTAATGAGATAGTTCTTCTATATCTGTAGTTGAATGTTGCTGAGTAATGTGCCTTTATTTTATATTTCTTGACCATTTTGATTGACATATTGTTCAAATGTTCACTTAACAATCAACTTGACTTAACTATAAGTCGAAAACTAATAATTTGACCATTTTCCTATAATAACACATCCGTTTTCTTTTCTTTCCTTTTCTTTGTTCTTGTTGTTGAAAAATACTTAGTTTTAACAAGTTACTCTTTTCAGTAATTCATCTCTATAGTTTACTATTCTATTAGGTTATTTGAAATAATCATTCTAAATTAACATCATAACGGAATCACAATTGAATCTAACATAAAATTACAAAAAATTTATGTGTCCTGTAGATACGAAAATACAAAAAAAAGAAAGTTTAATTATTTCATGCAAATACAAAACAAAATGAAACAATGGGACAGAAAAAGTTTTTTTGTTTCGAAGAGAGAAAATATCTCGAAAAATAGATAGGTGACTCTTTTATTCACATGCGTTATAAAGAGGGGGGATTTATATAAATAAACATTTAACAGGAAAAGAATTTCGATTAAAATTTTTTTGTTTGTTTAAAGACTAATTAATTGATAATGAAATAAACGTTTATCGATTGGCTGTAGTGTATTCAGTTAATGAATTATTCATGAAAGTTATAAACGTAACTGATTTTTTGTTAATAATAATAATAATAATAATATCGTCATCATCATCATCAAAAGTATAGGAGTAGAGCAAGCAAGTGAGTATTGATTTATTTGCCCAGGATGACATATAGATGTTCATGATTGATGATGGTGATCATGATGATGATGGTAATAAAAGCTAGGAAAATATTAAACAATCACTGACTGGATAAACACATGTTCACTTATTGCTAGATAGGTATTCAGAGGATTGTATTATGTAGCCATGCTATGACAACAAATACTCTAGTATCAAATTTATAGTGAAATAAAACAATCTTGATACATTTTATTAAATTACCAGTATATGATTTGTCAGAAAGATACCTTTCAGAATTATCTCAGTTTGCATAATTAACTAACTTTTATGATTTTAGTACAATATTGTTTAGTATTAAAACAACCAGTATGCATGTTCTGCATATAACGATCACAAAATTACGTGTAGATTCCTCCATGATAACCGGAAATATCCGTTTTCTGATAGTGACTGAGTTGTGTTTTTTTAGGTTGTTAGGTACTACCAGATCACACTTCGCTTTGATTAGTTCTAATTATCAGTGGGAACATCACGTTTTGTCTGCAACAAATTTTTAATTATATGATAATTCCGTTTTCATTCGAAAAAGATTCTGTCACTAACTGACAACATCAGATTGACCAATGGAAACTAGAGTGCACTGGACAATCGTGCTTTCACTAGGCCTCGTACAAGATCAATACAATTTTCCTGTTTTATACTGTAGATGATTCCATTTGGTCACCGAGTCACAATTCATCGGTACACAATCTAAACTTTAGTTACATTTAACCACATAGTATGTTCAACTGAATTAATTCTTGATATTTAATGCAAATCTGTTGGTTTGAACAAAACAAGTCCCTCTTAATCAACTCTACCATGAACAAACAAAATAACTCTCTTTAATTTTAAGCGATGGATAGAGGCCATCAGAGAATTCTAGGAAATTAGTCACTCAGATGTACCTGCATCCCGCAGTTGATGCTCACTCCGGGACTCAAACTTCATTAACTTTCTCTCCAAACGCCATAGAGTTATCCACTCGGCTACTAAGTTTAGATAACCACTAGCTTGTGATATATATATATATATATATATAGTTTCGTTGCTCGGATCTTTCCACTGATTTTTAGGACTTCATTTTTTTAGACTCATTTTGGTGTATGTGCATCCTGTGCCAGTGGCTGATCAATTGCAGTCCTAACTATTAATGAGAAGATCAAGATAATCAGTATACATGAACTAAAACTCTGTTTATTGTTTTCATATTTACGATTTGCGTATACTTAGCCATAAGATGTTATTATTGATATTGTCTATGTCATTTAGTTACATGTTATTGTAAAGCTATCGTACTTTAGATGTTACTTCTGTGTCAAAGTAGTAAGATAATGAATGGATATTGAGGAATTGAGTATTTGAAATAGTTATTAACGGTAACATGCATCAAACTTAGAGTGGTGGAAAAAATTTATAGCAAACGGTGGATATGTTTTGTTTGGGCTACCCATCCTGTCTAGCAAATGTTAATGATGCTATTCGTAAAGAAGAATACATTCCTCTTAGTTAAATCATCCAGCTTTATGAAGAATAACACTATTTCAGTCAATCTATTTTACTTTATTATATACATTTTAGTTTAGTTATAATCAGACGCACTAGTTGATGGTAAATATGAAGATTCATGCAAGAAAAAGAAGTTGGACATTTTTGAATTGATTAGTTGGTTAATATGGTATACATAATTGTTTGTATATAAATAGTAGGTTGATGTACATACACTCACATAAAATAACACATACATACAAAGGTACAAACATGCAGGAAGTTTCCATTTAAATAAATGAAACACTCACTCTCTGGAAAAATGAACACAATAAGCATTAAAAAGAAGGAGAAGAAGAAGAAGAAGCATAATAATAAGAAGAGATTAGAAACACTGACAGTGTTACATCAAGCATACAATTCTATACATTTATGTATTATGTGAAATGATTATATAAACAAGAGATTACTATGTAAAATTTTATCTTAATATTTATCAAATTATTTCATTAAAGTAAATTGAAAAGTAAATAAATACCAATCATCAGAGTTGATTTCTTGATTATACCGCTTATTTATAATAATGATGATAATAATAACAAATTATACGCATTATTATTATTGTTGAAACTTACCTCCGGGTGTAACTACAATTGGTAATTGTTCACTAACTGGACCATCTCCAGCAGCATTGAATGCATTGACTTTAATATAATAAGTTGCATTCGGTAGTAATTTTGTTAATTGATATTTCTCTTGTGTTGTTCTAGCAATTAACCATGAGTTAAGTGAATCTTCTGGTCGAGTTGTATAATACAATTTATAACCCTATAGAATATTTTAAAGTGAAAGCATCGTATTATTATTATTATTTTCTTCTCTCAAGCAAACGTGAAGAAAGAGATATTTATGCATTTTTTAAAAAATCGATAATAATGACATCACAGTGACTTGATCTGAAACCCAGTAGCTGATAATAAACTATCTAGTCTGATTTAAAATAAGCTGAGGTTATATAATATGAAGAACAAAACCTATTGTTTTAGGTTATATCGATTATAGAAAAAAGGCTAGGCCTTAAATGAATACACTGATGCTTTATACTCAGACCCCTTATGCAAATAGTAATTATGTCTTCATTAGCGAATAATTCCTAGATCTAAGTTTTGAAGTTCTACTAAGACGCTGTGATCACTTGAATTAATCAATATCGAGTATGAGGCATTTACTCACCAATAAGATTGGAAGATGGTTGTGCAATAACGAGAATTGCTTGAATTTGTATATTTAAAATTTTGGATCATAACTCAGTTATTTAAATGATATAAAAACTTACTACCAGACCTGAATGTTTTAGTGATCATGGATGTGAGCATACTAAAACAAAACATCCATCCCTGGTTTTCGTTATTTATCTAATTAAGGTTAGCTCGTTATTTGGACTAGAAAAATCTAACAATCTACACAAAAGCATTAACTAAATAGTTGCTGACTTGTTATTTATATTAAGGTGATAATCAATCATCAATCAAAACTTTTATTTTCATTAAGCACAGTATTCATTTATTCTGTATATATTTTGAACAAATTAATGTCTTTATATGGACGTTATAGACTAGTTGTATTTATTTACTTACTGATTGAAATTTAAAACATTATTGTTATGGTCTTTGCCCTTGTTAATTATCACGTGATACAATTTCCAATCAGAATACTGACTTACATGAACTTATGCTTGTGCTAAATCAATGACAAGTAAACCAGAACTAGCAGCCTTGCGTCAACTATGAATCCTCGCCTAACCCTACTGGTTTGAGTCCAGAGCACAATCTCAGCTTACACTGCATGAACAATATATTCCAGACACACTTAATTTATATACAAGCAAATCAGACCGCATCATACCATGAAATAAAAAATAGCAGTTATGCAAGATCCAGCCAAAAGTGTCTGTGATTGTGAGAGACTGTAACTAATAGATTGGGAATAAAGTGAGGGCAATAAATAGCATAGTCGTAGTTAATAAGCCAAATGAAAGTTTATGATAAAAGGAATATGAATGTACATATAATCTAGTTACTTAATAGTTATACTATATATATGATAATAGCCCACAAATAGATCCTACCAGTTACCAATCATTTATTCTTCGTTCTGATATAACAGTTGTTTGGTGCAGATTTAAAAAGAGATTCTTGCTTATGATCTTTACTTTTGATTTACCATATATAAAATAAACTACATGAGAAACCAATTACTAATTTATTCGATGCAGAAATTTGTGAAAATCACTGTACAATGAATTGATTAATCATTTCAACCTAAGAAACTCATAGCACTGTAATTATTAAAGAGTAGATTGGAGCAAAAACTTGAAAAAAACTATATATTATATAATAATTTAAATCTAAATACTCACAGTGATACGACCATTGGATTCGACTGGTGGTTTCCAGGTTACTACTACAGAGTTCGGAGAATCAACAATAGCTTGTAATACTTGAGGAGGTGTCCCAGGTGCTGAAAACGGAATCACAACAGTAATAATTGATAATAATAAATAATAAAATGTTTGTTAAAACTCAAATGAAGAATCAAAGTGTTAAATGATTCATAGCGAATCAGTTTATGTGAAGAATCACTCGTAATTCGATCACATATTTCATCCCAAATTAACAAGCATCATCACGATTAAGAGTTAATCAGTCAGTATAGTAAACTTGGGTGATGAAATGGCAATTCTTTTTTACACAAGAGATTTTAATTTAATCTAGGTCAATGTTACCAGTAATCAACTGTATTTCTACTAAGTGTTCTGAAAAGAAAAAAATAACAAGCGTCATAATTCATCCTATAAATATCACTATATATAAATGCATCCAATCACTTGGATAATATTGTCACTGCTTACTAAATTATATGTGTGAAATATTGCTTACAAAGAAAAATCATTTGGACACATTAAATGAAATTGTCATTTAATAAAGTTAATCTGTATTATGAAAACACTCCGGGAACTAAGCTGTATATTGATTTTCATCTTGAAATTGAATTCATTTCCATGTCAAAGAAATGCCTTTTTTTTCAAAACAAAACATAACAAAATATTATGTAACTTCTATTTTGATCCAGTACCAAATGTTACATCATTGATTATTTCAACAAAATAGCCAATATACTTTATTATGTCATAACTGATATGGTAAATAATTCTGCAATGAATATAGATAAATACTTTTGATGGTAAAAACAATGACTTTCAATGCTTGAAATTAATGAACATTGATCTGTGAATGCTTGTTTCATACTAGTTGATCATTTATAAATCGTGACTGAAATCTTAAGGGAAGTTATAATTATTATAGGATTGAAATTCATACAAAAACCAGTATCATAGTTCATATACTCTTACTTATACATGCATTAATAGAATTGAAACTATATGACAACCTGTTTTTAAGGTACTTGAATGAATAGAAAATCAATCTACTTATATTATGAACATGTTCATATGTAAATGTGCATTTCATAAGTTTGTGAAATATAAGAAAATTAAAAAAAGAAAATTAAATTATATCATGTATACTTAGTGGATTAGTACGGGTAAAGCATATTAAATCGAGGCAATATTTCATAATCCCCTTACTCATGAATGTGATTAGAGTATAAAAGAGGATAGAAAGAGGGAGAGAGAGAGTGAGTGAGAGTGTGAGAGAGTGAGGATGAATAAGAATACAAATATCATAACTGTATGCAATTGGTTGATCAGTAATGAGTTCATTTAATAAAATAATATAGATCATTGAAGAACATATTTTATTTATGTTTTTGATGTAAATTTCATAGTCTTATGTTTCTCTCTTCTTTGTTTTTTTTCATCTCTATATATTCCTTCATTGTTCTCATATATAACTAGATATTTGAATTTATGCTACAACGAATACAATCATTAGTCTTTCAATCATGTTTTAAAAAAAATGACCAGAAAAATAAAACACTGAATATAAATAAACATATGGTTGAATGAATACCACATTACCATATATTAACCAACACAAACATTGTTAGTTATTCAATTACTGAACGACACACATGGAAGATTAAGTGACGACAGTATGTACGTATATATATTTGTATACATTCTGACAAGAGTGAGAGGATGAAATTAAGTCGTTTCAATGGTGTGTTTTCCTCATTATTAACAAAATTCCTCATGTGTAAGTAGTATCCATTGGGTTAATTCATGTGATAGGAAAAATCTGAAAATTTCGCCTTTTTCTATAATTTGACACAGATGAGAAAGTATATATATATATATATATATATATATATATATATATATATATATATATATATATATATATATATATATATATATGTTTGTTTGTAAAATGGTTAAACGATAATTTATGACTTCCACGGACAATCGAATCGGTTGAAACACTGTTAACTGATGTTAAAAAACTTTCAACTGTCAAATATTATTCGAACATAATTTATGTTACATAAGGAATACAGTTCAACAACTATTGAGTACTGATTAATACTTGGTAACTATATGAAGTATACAACGCTTTTATGTGTTAAAGTTAGAATATGTGGGTTTTCTTGGCAGTGTATTACTTTTCAGACCATTTAACAGATATACTGTGATTCATTTTTGTAACTTTACTTAATTTATAATAGTGCACAACTACTAATCAATGGCATTAAGGATACTAGTCTTACATTCCAAAATTCACTATTATTATCTTCTTATTAGAATTTCTTCGAGTTTTTTTCGAAGCTAGTTGCTAATGAGAATATGATGAAATCTGAAGGTCCAGGTTTCATTAGTTAGTAAAGTGAATTCCTACAATATTTCACTATTCATTTCATAACTAGTAATTCATCATCAGCTTCAATTGGCTCATGATTTCAACTTGTGAAATTCATCAGTTCATTTAATGAAATACAAATACATTTTAGATAATGATTTAAGCTGATTACGTATTGCATTTTTAAAATATATTCTTTTTCGAAACTCAACTGGATTAAAGCGATCTCATTTGAAAACTACGTTTACTCCATAGAAAAATTAATTAATCACAATTGATTGATCACTGGGTGGTGACCAATGTCATGTGTATCAAGTCCTTATTAGTGCAGATCGAATGCTATCGACCATGATGCAATGTGACCACCAGCCTAAGTGACTCGACACTGCGTGTACTATTGTGAGATTAGATGGTGGTTGGAGGTAGTCGACAGGAAACGCTAATTAATTAATGTCTGAAATTACAAAAGTTAATTGGGGATAATTAATTATTATTAGAGAAGGATGTGCTTAAAATGATTCAATTAGATATTTGATAAAGATAACTCTGAGTTTATTCCTCCTCATGAAAGAAACGAAATAAACTTTTCATTGTGCGTAATTTTATATTCTGTTCTTTGCACAGAGTTAGTTATTCAATGCTATAGTGATGATTGGTTACAATTAATACATAATCAATAAAATTCTTCATATTTTGTTGGGTTACATACGAAAACTAGATTATGGTTATCACGTTATCACTAAGCTATTTAGTCAACGAATAAACTTTCGTAAGCTTGAGGAATTTACACTCGATTGATTATCAAGCAGAGACCATTGAAATGTTTACCTAGTCTTATTAGTTGTAATCGAACGTTACATATTGTATAGCTTAATAAAGCAGGAACGAAATCTTGCAGGTAGGATAAGTTAAATCAAATTTCAGGTTCTTCTTGATGGAAAATGATAAATATTATGAGACCTAGATCCAGAAGTTCTTGTTAACTATCAACAACCACAAAACATTTCAAAATGGTATATCTGATATCAAGTCGCTTAAGTTAGTGTTATAGCGAAACCTGATCCATAAGATTTGATCATTACTGAAGAATTTGGCAAGCATGATGACGGATAAATCAGCTGTATATCTAGGTTCATTTAAACTTTGTAACAAAAATTTCATAACCAGGAAAGCTACAGCTGGAGTAACTTGATGGTTACATCACTGGTATCGAGCTCTGGATGTTCCGAATTAGTAATTTTGTTCTGGCACTGATTTCCTAAAGCCTGTAGATGATTATTACTATTGACTAGCATGAAATCTATAATTTTATATTGATTACCTCCTGTCATGCAATGTTAAGTAGTAGATAGAATTCGATTAGAGCTAAAAGTTAGATAACGTGATAAGGAAAAATGAAATACAAATCTGTGAATGTATTAAACAAACGGAAATAGAAACTGATTAGTTGGCATTTTGAGTACCAACAATGAGAAATTAGAAAAACCATTACTTAGACCTTCATACCTGTCAAAAACATCATTGGCTATCTAAATTGATTGGCTCACTAGATAACACTTTGACGTTTAAAGAGAAAGGCAATGAGTTAGAATTATAATATGAACATCATCAAAGGGATATATTTTCATTTAGTTGAAAAGTTTCAATAGGATGATATACAAATTCTGAATTGCCCTACTAGCTCTATATTGGATATACAAAATCTTGTGAAATATCACTCTATGGAAGTAATCTGTTTAGTATGAATATATGACAGCAGTAACTACAATTCTGAATATCAGCAATGAAAAGTTATAAACCGTTTTTAAGAGTATATGGATAGATTATTCATGAAATAACAATATCTTTCTTGATTAATCGATTAAAGTAGTATTTTATCTTAGTTACGGAAGTTTGAAGATTTTAAATATCATTCCGTGTAATATTTTGTTGTAACAAAGTAAAGTGAAATAGCTGTACAGTATTTCACTGATACTAGTTGATGAAATGTCTCAAATAAATTATTCAGTCTTAAGAATCAAAGTACATTTTATACTCTTTCTATTAACTTCATTTGTTTAGCCTTACTTTTTATTAATACATCATCATATACAATCACGATTGAGAATAGGACAAATATAGAAAAAAAGAAAAAAGAAAAAGAATGTGTGATCAATGAATAATTTATCTCACCATGGGTAATTTGATTAGTTTCATGTTACTGTAATTTCAATGAACATTTCAAGAGAAAAAAATAAATTTATTCTAAATGCATAGATTCGTTCAAGGGCGAAACTAACACGAAAATACTGTTTTCAGGGGGTGGGGTTGTTTGGTTGGTTGGTATTAGCTTGTATTTATATATTTATTTAGTATTGAAAAACAACTCATTTTTAAGAAATATAAAAGAAAAAAAACTAAGATAAAAATTTCCCATTCTACCTATGGAATAGACAAACGTGAATGATAGATGGAAAAAAACGAGACATTTGAAAACAATCATCTGAATTCATTTAGATATAATTCTATTCAATATTGATATCTTACAATGAATAGGTCATTTCTGTATAGTTTATCGACACTTTCATTATGAGATTTAAAAAAACAACAACTGCTCAGCGCTCATTTAAATGTTCATAAACATGATGCAGGTTTTTGTATAGAGTCAACTCCATTATTTGTGAAAAAAAGATTTTCAAATCTTACCCTCTATGAATTCTCGAC